GCCCGATGATGCATCCTTTCCCTGATGTATTGATCCTCTCTCTGAAATTCTGACCAGTGAACATAAAGAAATTGTAGGAATATTTTGACTTTAATATTATTATTACTACCCCATAAAGCGGTCTGTTATTCAGATGATGGGAACTTTTGCTTTTGTTGAGCAAAATTCACTCATTCTATTACTCAAAGTTATCTGTTGAGTGCTAAGCATGCTGTGGTCACACTGGGAATGCTGAGAAAGCCTTCCTGCACCTGCTAGTCTTTTACAGCTTCTGTTCATCAATCCTAACGCTGCATATCAGCTCTAGATCTATGTCTCAGAAATACAGAGTAAATAAAAAAGTAGTGAAACCTACATGCATATATACAAAAATGAATTAGAAGCTATAATCAAAGAAGTTCCTATTCATTATAACATCTTAAAATATAAAGTAGTTAAAAAGATATTTAACAAGAAATTATAAAATTATAAAAATTTTACTGAGGGTCACAAAATGAGGGACTCAAATAAATAGAGACATATAATATATTCCTGGGTGGGAAGACTGAATATTATAAAACTATCTCTTCTCTTCAAATTAATCTAAAAATTTAATGTACCCACAATTGTAATACCAAAGTTATTTTCTGTATGGAATCTGACAACTTATTTTCAAGTCCATCTGGAGTACTAAATATGTGAGTATAGCATAAGGACTTTTGAAAGTGGGGAAGGGGTGTGAGAGATTGATCTACTAGATATTAAAATGAAGCATGAAGCTGAAATAATTAAAATGGTGAAAATCAAAAGCTCAGTGGAACAATGCAAAGGGTCTACAAATGTGCATAGAAAATGCACAGTATGAAAAAACTATGCATGGATTTCAATTTTTTCCCACCCAAATAAACATGTGATTTAATTCCATTTTCAAGGAACCTTCGGAAGTCTCAACATATACACACAGTATATGTACACGCACACACAGACATTTAAATTCATAGGAAAAGGTTAGTAGGCATTAAAGCAAGCGACTCAGCATCTGGAAAGAATATCAAATCTCTACCCCATAACTCACATCAAAACAAATCCTAATGGGATTCTAGTGCAAACTAATGCCAGACAACTATTAAAAGAAAGTACACATGCACACTAAAATGATTAATAATATTTAGGGTGGAGGGAGTGAGTTAGTGAGTGCTCTTTTATATTGTTTTGGGGGAAATAAAAGGGATACACATCTTCTAGAGGAAACATTAAAATTTTAGTTTTACTAGCACAGAAATTTTATTTTTAGGCAGTTACAGAAATAAAAATCCATATATCTAGCTATGAGGATTATCATTACAATAATATTAAAAACCATGAACAATGAAGATGTTGGTGGATAAAATATGGCAAGTTCATACATTCACTGTTAAGTTGCAGAATAAAAAAATGCAAGCTACTTATTAAATCAAAAAGTATAATGATCTATACATACATGACTAAATATTTAAGAGTATGTGTGTATGTGTGTATAAGGATACAGTTATATATTAACAATAGTTATCAACAGGTGATAAGAATATCAGTTATTGCAATTTTATTTTGTGAATCTGCATTTTAAAAATTTTCTACAATTAATATGCATTATGTTGGGAATAAGAAAAAATGAAAAAAATTACGTGAAAACAGGTATCCTTTGTTTTGAAAATAGCAAAAATGTTTTTTCAAATGCAATTTTATGTTAAGACTCAATTCATAGAAACAATAAGGTGACCCGAGTGGCAGCCCTAGAGCCCTGCTCAGTGGTAGGTGTCCTTGAATGTCCACTGTGAAGGTCAGGATTCAGGGGGTCTACTGAGAAACTACTGCATGTTAACACCACCACTAGGACGCACATGATGTGTTGTAAGTGAACCCACAGGCCCCATGGCTGCTAGTTACCCCTATATTACTCATAGACTATTTAATAGCTTGTTTCATTTTAGTTCATCATATTGATTGTTGTACATTCATTTGTCAAGCATTTTTAAAAAACTTTATCAATTTTTGCATTGTACCATATTACTCTACCTGTAGACTAGAACTAAAAAGATGTTATCATTATATTGAAATGACTCTCATATGAATGATCTCAAATGTTATTAAAGGTTGATATGTGAAATGACTACATGATGAATGGATCTCCCTTTTCCTTCACATTATTATGAAATACATTGCCTATTCTGGTGTTCGAATGCAGTTATATAAGGATGCATGTGATAAATCCCTTAAAATTTTAATGTCATACAGAGTTTGCCCAGTTGTATAAATGAGACTTCCCTTCATAATGCTATACTACTCCTATGTAACTCATCATGTTTCCCTTTTGGCTTTGGCTGCCAGAAAGCTCAGAGCTATATTTATTGCCAAACTACAGCAATGAACAGCTGTCTAATTTTGCAGAAAAACTATCCCAGAGCACTTGAGTGTTTACCCTCCACTAAATGGTCCCATGATATGCATGGCTCATGTTATGAGTTGTCTCAAATTCAATTTGGAAACAGGCAAGGATTAAATAATAAACACACAAATATACAAGTAATTTGGACTAAGCAGGGTTGTTCTTCAGCAATAGAAAATGCTCAAATCTAGAATTTGTTTTTTTCCAAATGCCTGTTAGGCATTTTGCCTAAATCTAGAGTATTGCTGGGTGTGGATCAGCCCTTGAGCACAGCCTTGGACATACAAGTTTTCCTGCTACTGAGGCCTGGATCTGCATTTGCACATCCCATTAGGCAGGCTTCTTAGAGGTAGCATACATGATTTCCAAAAAGGGTATCAGGTTGAAAGGAGTGGTAACAGAGCCAGGTGCAGATAAACTAGCAATTTATACAGTTTCCATAGACTGTGACCTTTAAAATGGTTCACAGAACAAGATCTTGCTGAAATGGACCAGGAAGTAAGACAACTTCCACACAGAGAAGAGAACAACTCTTAGGCAATGGTGTGTGTGTGTGTGTGTGTGTGTGTGTGTGTTGCAATGGTCAACATTAGACCAAAAAATATTAAGTGAGTTAGGAGATTTCCATACTTTTCTGGAAGGTCAAATATGTATTCTTGTTGTTAACATTTCTTAGATCATTTCACAAATTAAGTGCTGAATAAGGCATAGAATGTGAAAGAAAAAAATTTTTTTTGGATGACTACAATGTGCATGGTTTAGCTGCATTATTTCATAGGACATGTGTAGGCCTAAATGTATAATCTCCTTAGCAACTTCCTAAATGACATGAAGGTACCAACACCACAAACTCTGTGTTGAGATGATTTGGGTACAAGAGCACCCAGTAGGGCAGAATCTGGTAATGTAGTCTTGATTATTGTGTCATATCAACTGACAGGGTGACTTTCTGTACCAGCAACATACACCCTTGATGTCTCTGGCAACAGCTCGGCCAGGGCAACTCTGTAGTAAATTGGGTCAGCTGATTAGAGCAATAAAGTAACATCACTAAAAAGATTTGAAATGTTATTTACAAGAGAGCCAGAAACCAGCCTACAAGCAAATGAACAAGGCAGGCCCATGAGGCTCCAACTGTCTTTGCACTCTGAAAATCTGCTTAACATTCCACAGACAGAGAGTTTCACTCAAGGTAGAATGCATGGTGCCCAAGAGCCCAGGATCTGGAGTCACATTTCTTGGTTTTAAATCTCGGCTCCACCATTCATTGCTGGCTGAGAAAACTGCGAATACTTTCATACTTTGAGTCTCTCTGTCAATGAATGAGGTCATCTGTGAAGAGGAGCTAGCTCTACCCTCTCACTATGTGCCAATTATTATTACTATTTTACTAGTTGGCTTAAGACATCAGCTATTGAAATGCAAATACCCGGAGCCATATGTTAGTTACCAGTTCATCATTTAGCTGGCCTGGCATTTCACTACTTTAAAATCAGTTAGGATCAAGGAGGCAAGGAGAGACCCAGGATTGAAATCTGGGAGAAGCCGGAAGCTAAGACCCAAGGAGAGACAGAGCTTTGGCATTCCGCTCGGGGCCTCAGTGATTCTTTTAGTTGGAGAAGCAACCCATCATTGCAGCTGCCCAAAGTGGAAACCCTTGCTGTAGTAGAAAGCAAGCCAATCTAGTCACTCAATCCAGATCACCCAGTCCATAGCCCTCAAGTCCTTAGGGACTGTCCTTGTCTCTGTCAACTCTGTCACCTCAGAGGACTCTCTAAGAGGCGTCTTCAGAAACTTCATGAAAGATGTGTACTGGCAAAACAAACACACAAACAAAAGCTGTGCATGGATTTCTCAATTTGTACCAAAACGAATGTCTTTTAATTCTGTTTTCCGTGAATTTTTTTTTTTTTTTTACAGGCAGAGTGGACAGTGAGAGACAGAGAGAAAGGTCTTCCTTTTGCCGTTGGTTCACCCTCCAATGGCCGCCGCGGCCGGCGCGCTGCAGCTGGCGCACTGCGCTGATCCGATGGCGAGAGCCAGGTACTTATCCTGGTCTTTCCGTGAACTTTTCTAAGTACCCTCCTGCGGTGACAGCCATGGACAGCAGAGCCCCCACGTTTGCTCCTTGTTTCCTGAGCCACCATGATGTAGTTGCAGAGATTTCAAACATGGATGTGTGGCCCCGTAAAGGTTGCCTGCATTTGGAACCTGCTGTGGAGAGCCATGGAAGGCCACCAGTCGCCGTCTCAGGGCAGGGTGTGCGGCCCGGCCCACTCTGAATAGAGACATGCCTCCGTGAAGTCAGTCATCACCATTCAAGGTCAGTCACCTCGACATTCCCACCACCACCTCCCATCCAGCAAGGGAGGAGATGGAAGCACCTGGAGACTTTGTTAAGCTATTTATATAAAACAGGTGAGTTATAATTTGTTTTTCCTCCCAGGGTACCCAGGAGAGGCTGATTCTGATACAAACTATTCACACTCTGTTTCAGGGAGATGTCCTTTCCCCTCCTGTTTGGTCAGGCAGGGGTACGTAGCTAGACACACGCGCATTCACACATCCCAGTCCCTGTGCGGCACGAAGCACTCACCTGTTAGGCCGGCGGCCTCTGCAGACAGGAAGGCGCTCCAAGAAAGGAGGAAAAACAGGCCTGTTTCCAGCATCGGGAACTCACAGAGTTTGGTAAATTTGGTCAAGTGATGAAGCTGTGTTAAGGGAAACAACACCTGCTTTCACAGCTAAGTCTCCTTCCTGACAGAGGGAAAATGATCCGCATTTGATGGCTTCAGAGGAAAAGGCCGATTTTCGGACCTGATTGGAAGGCTGTAACTCTCACCGGGACCCGCTCTGAAGGCCAGCATGCGATCCATGCTGTACGGGGAACTGAAAGGGCCTGCAAAAAAATTCAAATCTGTGTTCATGTAAAAATGATGTCTTATGAACAATACAAGGGTACTTCAAAAAGGCAGTGGAAAATGGGATGAAAAGAAATGTATTTTGTTGCAAAACACTTGAAATCCACACAGTTTTCCCTTGATATGCATTTTCCACAAACTTTTTGAAGACTCCTTGTAGACTCCTTGTAGAGCCCAGGACAGTGGGGCTGGGATATGACACTGCAGCTCATCAGCACCCAGGAGGCGCTGCTCCCCAGGGAAATGCAGACTGTGGGTCCGCGGCTTAGAGTCTCTCTGGGGATGGAAATAGGATTAGGAGGAGCAGTGAGATTCACAGACAGGGAATCTGCCTCTGCCCTCTTGGTGTAAGCATGTGGGAGAGAAGGTATGCTATGCTATGTCTAAGACCAGATACCCTTTGCTAGGCAATGGTTCATTTTGGCAGGAATGACACTTCTCGATGGTCTATAAATTGCAAATAGGACGAAAGGGTAATGATCCAGGCTGGGAAGAGAAAGGGATTTGGGATGATTACAAGGGGTATGTGACTAGTCAGAAAAAGCTACATTTAATTGCGTCCCTATTAGGCACAAAATGCCCTGACAAATAAGGAGATGGAATCATACTGCATTTTGTGCTTTTAGAATAAAATCTAAAGAAGATTTCACGTGAAGACACTTGAGCACTGGGGCAGGGAAGCAAAAGCATGACCTCTGGGGAGGATCTGGGTCTCTTTCTTGGCTCTGCTCATCAGTGTCTGTGTGACTTCTGAGCTGTATGATGACCTCTCTGAGCCTCATTCCTCTCTTATGGGACTTGGCAATGAAAATAATACTTGCTTCTGCATGTGGAGTGTGAAAGGAGATGTAGTGTGCTACAATGTTTTGGAAAGTTTTCAAAAGCACGAAGTACCATGAGGCAGCATGGCCTCTGGACAGCAACTCCACCTAGGTTCAAATCTACAGTCTCTGCTTAGACACCTGTCTGAATACGGGGCTAATGACACAACCCACCTCATAGCTATACAAACCAGCTAATATATGCACTGTCTCATGTGTACTGCAATAGGTACTCAGAGCAGTGCCAGGCATGCAACAAGCGATGTCTGTTTTCTCTGTTACTGTGACTTAAATGAACATTTTTGGGGTAATATATCTTTTTTGGAAATAGAATCTCTAAGATCTGGAAGGAATCATTTACCTGGGATGAGAAAGTGAAACCATTTTCAATATTCCCATTTTCTTCCTTGGAGGGAAGACTTTGTTTCTAGTGGGTTTGTTGCTCTGAATTCTGCTCAGGCCCCTCTGAGCAACAGAGCATCACCCATCTACACAGCATTCGTTTCCTTCAGCCTCCTCCAGAAAGTAGCTCAGTTCTGGGTGGACTCCAAATCCAGAGCCCGGGAACCTGGGGAGATGCGCTCAGTGTGGATGAGGTGTGCACCTGCCCCCCTCACAGCCTGTGCTTGTAGCCCTGTTAACAGGCCGGCAAGTGCTACGCGATCAGTTGTGCCACTGTTAGCAAGCCCTTGTCTCTTGTGCCTCTACAGCCCTTCTTCCAGATCTGTTCCAAACTCACAGTAGCTGTCCAATCCCCAGGGACTTTCCCCCCGTCCCTCATCAACCTGTTTACTGCTCTGTCCATGCCTTCCCCTCACTCCAGGCACCCAGGAGTTCCCACTTCAGCTTCTCCACTTTGTGCAGGAGCTAAGAAGCCTGCAATTGAATCCTGGCCCAGAAATGTCCTGCTTGTTTGACCTTGGTTAAGTTGTTTAACCTTAATTGTCTGAGCTTCTGCAGCTGTAAAATTGGGATAATAACAGTCTCTACCTTCCAGGCTTCTTATAAAAACTATCTGAGATAATGCATGTAAAATACTTACAGCAATGACTGGCACATAGTCAAGTTCTCAATAAACGTTAGACGATATTATTATTGCATGTATTATTACTGACTTATGACCCAGAGTGAGCTACTTAACCTGCTGAAGTCTCAGTTTCCTCCTGTCTTACAGGGTTGATTCAAACGAGGAGATGCATACAAAGGCCCTGGCACATGGTACGCATTCACTAGATGTCAGTGTCATTGTTGCTAACACTCTATGCTAACCAGCATGTGATTCTACCACCATTCCACTTCATCATTAAAAAGCAGCAGGGGGCAGGCATCAAGAGCATGGTCTGCTTCTTGGTTCTCACTCTCTGTGTTCATGTCCTGGTTGCATGACCTCAGGCAACAGCTTACCCTTTCTAAGCATCAGTGTCTGATAAAAACATTACCTGTTGCTAGGGTCCTTGTGACAGTGAGGTGAGACACTGCCTGAAAAACAAGCATCCAGGGCTTGACATATCCCATGTGCTGGGTAGATCATTAATTTTGTGGCTGGAAACAACTGCTACCTTTTCTAATTTTATTTCTGTCAATGGAGGCATCATTCTGTAAGGTTTTCAGAACAAAATTTGGGAGTGGTGTTTGGCCTGGTTCTCTTCTTGATCTCTTAGGACCAACTCATCATTAAGACCTAGAGATTTTTTTCCTTTAAACCCCAGTCTCTTTCCTGTTACTTCCTTTGTTCATCATCACAGTTTCCCTTGGCCCTAATGCGCAACTCTCTTTCTCTGAGCTCTCTTATACAACAGTTCCTCATCCATGTTTTAAAAACAGGATTGTTTGCCTGTCACTATCCTGAAACCCTCAGCTCCCCATTGTGGATGGCAGATGGCAGGTTAGGCCCTTCTGAATAGCACTGTAAGATACTCCAAAGCTGGCCCTATCCCACATATTTCTTCTTGTCTCCCAGTTCTCACCAGGATACACTTCTGCTCCTCTTAGGCATATCCGTCATGTGCATATCAGTCAATGCCAGCCCCACACCTTCAAGTGTACTGGTCTTCCCCCCTTGAATCACTCCCCACATAGCTTTTTCCTGTACCCTACATACCTATCTTCCAGAACAAGCATAGACACCCCCCCTAAATATATATGTGTGTGTGTATTCATATGTGTGTGTGTTTATATATAGTTAAATTATTTTCCAGAATCATAAAGTTGGCCAAGAGTCCATTGGATGCAATGGCCTCATGTCCACTGCAATTTTTAGTCCTGATAACTTGGATATGGCTGTGGCACTCAATTTGCACCTAACTTTTCATATGGAACTTGTCTTTCCAAGCTTGTTACTCATCAGTGCAGGCATCCTGTTTACTCGTCTTCTGATTCTCCTTAGACATACTGTGTAGAATCAAGCCTTTTAGCAGCTATTCAGAGAGTCCCTGGATCCATTCCCCTGGGAAAAAGACTCCACATTTTGCTCCTGCTTCTCCTGGGGTCCTGACCCCTCCGGCATAGTTTCCCTCTCTTTTCCCTGAGGTCTCTGGCTATTGATCTCTTGTTCTCCCTTCTCTGTGGTCTGCATTGAGTTCTCATGCTGGATATTGGCTTTCTGGCCTCCCTCCTTAACTCTACTTATTTGCATCCCATCCCACTGTTCAAAGTGAACAGCTCTTGAGACCTCTTTCTTTCCCTGGCTCAGATACTTTAGGAAATCCCTAGCAAAAACGGGAGAATCAAATGATACAATTGCCTGGTCTTGACAAACATGTCATTTCTTCCTTGCTTGAAGGCTCCCTTCTACAAATTACCTGTAGATCTTTGTTTAAATTCATAGTTTAATGAATTTGATCTCTGGCATGGCCAACCCTGAGAGCTAGAAATTGACACAAGCTCAACAAGGAAGCAGAGCATACCCATTTTAACTCCTCCACTGAGTCCTGTCCTGTTCTTGACCTTGGATCTTCATCCACTTGACCCCAGTTTGGCCAACTCTAATGACCCCTGCCTAGCACTTTCCCCGTGTGGCCCTTTTAAAAAGACTGTTGATAGTCTAGGAGCAGACAGTATCAACAGTGCTGGAACTGACCTTGGAGAAGAAAAGAGCTTGGGCACCTCTGCCACACAGTACCAACCTATGCCTCCAGGGTCGATTCAGAACCCAAGTGGCCTCAGTGGCACCACATCAGACTTGATCCAGACTATCCAACCATTTCCTGGCCTGGAGTTTGCTCAGCCTCGGAGGCTTTCCACGGCCACTGACTGCTCTGAACAGTCCCCATCTTTCCACCCACAGGCAAAGGATATCAGAGCTGTGACAACAGCATATGCAGACCCCATGGCAAATGAGCCGGCGAAGATCCCCAGGAAATTTCCCACAGACTGGAAGAAAGCCGCAGCATCAAAGGTATTCGGATTCTCCTTGGGACTGTAAATGGATATGGAACTGAAACGAGAAGAGGGTGCAGGTTAGTGAGTGACTCCCACCCAACAGCCCCAGCAGGAGGAATTCTGTGCCTTCTTTTGGGAGAAGCACCTTTTTCTGTAAGGTTGGGTGCTGGCTGGAAGAACTGAGGGAAAACAGATGAAAAGAGGGAGAGGGAGAGAAAATGGAAAGGTTTCTCCTTCCTTATAGCCCAATCCCATGGTATCCCTATACTGCTGCCAGTCAGTAAACATTTTTATATTGGAAGGGTCGTAAAGAATATTGTTTCTGAGCAAACTAGGCATTAAAACATGGTAGGTGTATAAGGAATCTGCTGAGAAGATAGATAACTGTGAATTATTTAGTGGCCATATGTCTTCAGCGCTGTTATATATTCACAAATGTCCCTGATAAAAAGTGCACTTTTACGGCCTGTGCACAAACGGGCGATGCAAATCACAGCGTGCACAAGCCGTGATCTTGTCATAAAGCACAAAGCATTCCTCCTCCTCGCTGGAACCCTTCAGAAGCCGAGCCCTGACGGTGTTCAGAGCATCGCAATATTAACCCCTGGGGAGAGACAAAACCCTCATTTTCCCACTGAAACAAATGGCAGCAGCTGCCCAAGGTCATTTTTTATACCCCAATTCTGGTGGCTGCCAAAGATTTATTTCCATAGAGAAAAATCAATCCACCAATAAGCAGTCTGTTCGCTTAAATATTTCTGAGGATGTCATATTTGCTATTTTTTTTTCTTGTAACAAGGGCCTCAAATCCCAGGCTAGTAATACGAAGGAAAAGACATGTCCTATTTTAGAAAATATAAACTCTGCACTGTAGTATTGAAATGAACAGATGTACTAGAACAAGTAGCTTTAGGGAGATTAATGAAGTAATATTACAATTTATTTTTCTGTCATTTTTATTTTAACATGAGATCTTTAAAACTAATCAGAAAAAAAAAAAAAACAACAAGATTTGGCTAGTAGGTTCTTTTCAGTTGTATAGAGAGCAAAAAAGACACGCAGGTTGAGATTAGATTGGATTCGACAGTGATGGAACTGCCCCTTCCGTGGCTTGGATAATCAGAGTGTGTGCACTCTCTGACCCGACGTTCTGAATCCAGAGGCTAGTTCAGAGAGAGCAGATTCCAGTTCTCCTGAAGGAAGATATGTGGCATAAAGATAGTAGTTTTAAATGTTCTTAGTTTTTTCCCTTGCTGTCTTTAAACCCCCAAAGTAGGCCAATGCTCCTGCTTTGATCCTGTAATTGGATAAGGAAGATGAATGTGGATCTTGAATGGAGCCCTGAAATGCATGTGAGAAAAGCAGTGCCTTTGAAGCGTTTTTCTTTTTGTAAAGTGTTGTGCTTGGCAGAAAAAAAGGAAAAGCAAACCCACACTTGGGTCCTTTGTACCTGCCAGTCCTGGGGAAAGATGGAAAACCTTGCAGCCATTAGGAAACCCTGGGCCCCAGGCAGCGACGCCCCAAGGTTCCCGTGTTCCCCTGACACTCCCCGCAACTCCCTTCATTTCCATGAGACACCGTGCTGATGAGGAACCCTCCACTTGCATTCTTCCTTTCACACACAGGGCTTGCACACTGTCACAGTGCTGTAAATAATTCTGTTAATACCCGAGGCTGCCACCCATAGAACAGGGACTGCTTTATCCTTATCGCCACCTCTGCTCCCCAGGAAGGATTTTCTCTGCCTGCTGCTTCTGGAACTTGGAGCATCACCGTCACATCAATTTGGTCATATCCGAGACCATTATTTTTGGTATGTTTTTTCTTTAAATCAACTCATTTTTACTCACATGCAAGATCTTTTATTAAAGAATATCTAGGAAACCATAAGGGTGAGATGCTAATTATATTTCAATATATATGTGAGACTAGGTAATTTGGCAATGAAGGTCACCTGTGTGCCACCTAAAATCATCTGGGTTCCCTGCTTATTTGCAGTCTGCACTTTATTGCCACTGTTTTCTTCCTGCCCACACGACAGGGTACAGCTGCTTGTTTGTCAAACTTAATACTCTCACCTGTGATGGGTAACGTAGCTGAGCTGAGCTTGAGCTACGGAGGCTGTCCATTGAATTTGCTGGCCCTACAGCTCCCAGGATGCGTGAACTGAGTGTGTACCATGTGCCATGTGATGGATTAGGGAAACAGTGTTGGAGGCAGACAGGGAAGAGCATGGAGAAAGGAAGCAGATTTGATTCAGCACACATTTTATGGAACACCTGATTTATACAAGGCCTATCTAGGCAGAGAAGCCGAAGACAGAGATAACAAAGAGCCCTGGTCCTTGTTGCTGTGGGTGATTTTGTGAGAGCTACACAACATTTACTGGCATAAAAGAGGGAAAGGGCAGGACTTTAGGATAAAGGAGAAGGCACTTGATCAAGGTGGTGAGTGAACAGACGGTGGTGGGGAACGAGGGCTGCAGGTGGGAAAAAGAGGATGAGACAAGGTGAGCCGGCAGGTGAGTTCCGCACTCAAGGCATGGCCGTGGGGCTGGCCATGGGGCTGGCCGTGGGGCTGGCCGTGGTGCACTGTGTTAAGCCGGCGTCCCACATCAGAGTGCTGCTTCAAGTCCTGGCTGCTGGGCTCTGGATCCAGCCTAACACTGATAGCCTGGAAAAACAGCAGAAGACGCTCAAGTGCTCGGTTCCTTGCCACTCATGTGGGAGACCACGATGGAGCTCTGGGCTGCTGCCTTCGCCCTGCGTCAGTCCTGGCTGTCAGAGCCATTTGGGGAGGGAACCAGCAGGTGAAAAATCTCTGTCTCTCTCTTTATCTCTCCCTCTCTATCTGTTACTCCATCTTTCTAATAAATTATTACTATTTTTTAAAGACATAGCCTTGTGATTACATTTGGAAGCCAGACGGCCTGCATGTGGTCATGGTGAGTGAGATGGCATCACCAGAGCCTTCAGTTCCATGTTAATAACCTACAAAAGCCCTCGCATTTACTTAATATTTTTTTTAGGATTACACTATAACTTTATTTGATCCTGTGACATCTCTGTGAGGTACACAGGGCAGCTCCCTCCACCAACTCTTCCTTCATTTCTTTTCTTTTTTTTTAATTAATTTATTTATTTACTTTGAAACTCAGAGTTAGGAGGCAGGTGGCCAGGGAGAGAAATCTTCCATCCACAGGTTCATTTTCCAAATGGGTGCAATGGCCAGTGCTGGGCCATGATGAAGCCAGTAGCCAGTAGCAAGGAGCTTCATCTGGGTCTCCACGTGGGTGGCAGGGACCCAAACACTTGGGCCATCTTCCGCTGCGTTCCCAGGACATCTGGATTGGCACTGCAGTATCTGGGACATGAATCAGCACCCAGTGGGATTCTGGTATCACAGGCACTGGCTAACCCACCACGCCACAGCACCGGTCCCCTTTTTCTTTTTCTTTTTTTTTTTTTCCTCTTTATTTTTCTCTCCCTTTATTACTTCTTTCTTTTATAAAATAAAGGAACTAAGGATCAGAGAAATCCAACATCACACAGCTACTGTGTTCACAATGCAGGAAGTACAAAGTGATCCTGCTGGGAGAGAACCGTGAGTGACAGTGTCACAGTGACTATAAGCACATTAGGAACTTGGGAACCGAACCTTAATTTTCATGCTTGGATCTGAACACAGGCAGCACTCTCGTGGAAACGAGGAGGAGGGCAGAGTATACTGCCTGGGGCATCAGTACCCCTCTCCTGTCTCACCAGCCAGACTCAGACTCCATGGAATCTCACGGAATCCTGCTGTCCTGCGTGACTTCCACTCCCAGACGGTAAGCTTTGTTGGGCCTGGCCTGAGTCTCATTCTTCTTTGTTTGCATAGGGAACAGCCTGGTGCCTAGCATGTGGCACATATATATATATATATACATATACATAAACATATATACATATATACATATGCTGATGAATGGAGGCAGGACAATAGGAAAATAGATAGGAAACAGGCAGGAAGGAGGCCTGCAGAAGTCAGTGGCCTTTTGAAACAAATCACCATCCACTAGATTTCTATAGGTAGTCACTCTGTGGGTACTTTATGAGTTATTGACACAACACTGAAGCAGACATTTGAGTTTCTTAACTTGAGCAAAAGTTTTGACACTTATGAGCTGCGTGGTCTTGGACACATTACTTCCTCATTTTCAAACCCAATCTCATTACCTGTAAAATGGAGACAAGAGCACTTGTCCTCCAGAAATGTTATGAGGATACGAAGTCTATTTAAACCCTGTATTTGTGTCTTTTGGATTGCAGGGCTAGTCACTGAGTTCCTGATATATGCACCTAAAATAAACACTGCATAAGCGTTACTGATCATCCCTGTCATTATCACCCTTCTGCTGAGAATGTCCACAAGTTGAACTAGGCCTCTGTTCCAACCACGGACAGATGGGACATGGCTGTCCTTCCATCAAGGCATGCTTTGAGGTAGTTGGAGAGGGATTAGTCACCTCTGCATGGGAACAGAAGGCTGCCCAGGAAGGAAAGACACCAGGCAGGAATCCCAGATAAATGGCCCCCAGGAGTGAAGCTAAAGGATTGCCAGGTTTATCAGAAGGCTCTTGGCTCAGTGGTGCAAGGAGGGAAGGAGTGTTCTCAGCAAGCCAGGTGGGGATCTTCCCTAGGGTCACAAATAGCTCAGGAGGCTCAGCTTGACTTGCATCTCCTTCAGTTTAATAGGGGACATTCTTTAGGCAACACCCATGGGCTTCTGGTGAGGACCGAGATTGGAGGAGGCAGGTATCCCCCAGCCCAGCCCAAAGAGGCAGTATCTCTCTGAACTGCTGGAGTTTGAGAAAGTTTCTCCTCTAGGCTTAGCCCCTGGCAAGAGGCATCTTTATGGGCTCTGGTGTTTAACTGTAGCACAAAGCCTCTGGATTTGGGAGTAGCAGCTGTGCGGGATGGGGAGTTGGAAAAGGCCAAGGGCTTGGGCAGCACATGTGGAGTATTCCAAGTTTAACCCAAGGGAGGAATGTTTTCGGTACTGCAAATGCAGCCC